TGGGACGAAGTGGTGCAGAAGGCCAACGGAGGGCTGGAGGGGAACGTCACGCAGATTTGGGAAGGGATTAGTGGAATGGTAAGAAAGACCGCGCAAGGGGGGGATACAGGGGTCACAACTTTGCGAGGTGTGAACGGTGGATTAGTCAGCAGTGGGAAGGGAAAAAGGGAAGTTCCAGCAGGACACCACAAGAGACTTGGAGTGCCCTCTGAGAATGAAGATTTTGACCAAGTGTTTGAGAAGGAGGTGGACGCATGGGCCCAAAAGAAGAAGAGACATCGAAGGCAGACGTTGGGAACGTAGAACTAGAAAAGGAGTTCACTGAGGACGAGGTTGAGGCGTGTGTGAACAAGCTGAAGTGCCACAAAGCAGCAGGAGCGGATGGGATAGTCAACGAGTTCATGAAGTTTGGGGGGAAGGGGATGATCCAGCTGATGGTACTGCTGTACAATTGGGTGTGGAAAAACGAGTATACGCCAAGTAGATGGAGGGAAGGAGTGGTTGTGAACTTGTTCAAGAAAGGAGACAAGACTGACCCAGGAAACTACAGGGGGATCACACTGTTGAACACAGTAGGAAAAGTGTTCTGTAAGCTGCTGAACGATAGGATAGTGGGAGTATTGGAGAAGGAACATAGCATTAGTGAGGGCCAGGCAGGTTTCCGCAAGAAGAGGGGGTGCGTAGACCACGTGTTCACGGTAGGGAGAATCATCCAAGGTAGAAAGAGGGCGGGAAAGCCGACGTACTGCTTCTTCCTGGACGTGAAAAAGGCATACGACACCGTATGGAGAAATGGGTTGTGGAAACAACTGTCCAAATACGGGATCAAGGGGAAAATGTGGAGAGTGCTGAAGAAGATGACAGAGTGCACGAAAAGCGCGGTCATGCTAGACGGAGAACTGTCAAAATTCTTCGACATTGAGCAGGGGGTCCCACAAGGTTGCACGCTGTCCCCAACATTGTTCCGTGGGCTGTGGAAACAAGTGTCGGAAGTCGTAGAGGCAGTCCGGAAGGGAGTAAAAGTAGGGGACACGGAAACGTCGGTTTCAGGAATGCTGTTTGCGGATGATGTTGTCGGTATGTCGGA